TTTTATTTTCACTGTATCATTCCTTCAGCGAAAATAACGAAAATTAATTCCAGGCAAAAATAAAGTATTTTTCAGTACTTGTGGTGTCCCGAACTTTGGCTAGAGGTGGGGTGCAAAGATGTTACTCTGTTGTTGATTTATGTAGGTATCTGTATTCACATATGGTAGCCATAGTGATACAGTTGTCTTCCAAGTACATGGAAAAACTACATGTTTCAGATATTGAGGTATGAATGTCAATGTAATTTTATGTTTTGGTTTGATGTTTCAGTCGTAAGATGGCTAGGCCTAGCAGTGCAAGACCAGCTCCTCCCAGGTTGAAAAAACAGGACTCAACTGAAGACCCTGCTGCACGGTGAGTCATCACACATTCTATGTAGCAGCACAATGATGTGATATAAATCTGTTTGTATTTAGAGGCTCTATTTGCTAGTGTCTTTGTTTTGTGTTAAAACATTACCTGCTGCAACCATCCACAGAATGAATGTGAAAAAACGATGTTGACAGGCCATGTATAGAATGTATATCATGTTGTACAGTTAAACCTGTGTATAGCGACCACCTAAGGTATTTATATAGAGGTGGTCACTGACACAGGTTTCATGTAGAGTTGCACTATATTGTAATTTCAAGAAAGTATAAATAAGATAAGCAACATGGCGACCTTGTATTAATGAAATCTGTTTTTTAATGTTTTATATATTGTATCTTTAGAATCGCCACCTCCCTATGTGTATATGTTCCTAATACCGGATTCTGCCGTAAATTCGCCCTGGGCCGTTAAACGACATTTTGGGTTTTTAAAAAAGACAAAATGGGTTCAAGAAATCGCTTAGGGCGATTTTTCAGCAGTTTTTTTGTCCCCGTTCGGACGAATTTCGAAAACGGGGACTTATAATTCGGTCTCCGTCCGTGCGTCTGTGTGTCCGTACGTCCGTCCGTCCGTCCGTCCGTCCGGAGTCATATCTCAGAATCCTGTGGACCGATTCCGTTCATCCTTTGCATGTGGATAGTACTTTATCTGGGACATGCACATGCAGTGGTTTAGTGATTCGATTCAAAATGGCCGACTGGCAGCCATCTTGCTTTTTGAAAATGTTGTATTTTGGACATGCTTTGTCAGTTTTCATTCAAATTTGGTACATAGATTATACATGTTAGGATACATGTCCATGATGATTTATTTCACAATTGGATCAAAGATGGTCGACTGGCAGCTATCTTGTTTTTTGAAAATGTTGTATTTTGGACATGCTTTGTCAGTTTTCATTCAAATTTGGTACATAGATTATACATGTTAGGATACATGTCCATGACGATTTATTTCACAATTGGATCAAAGATGGTCGACTGGCAGCCATCTTGTTTTTTGAAAATGTTGTATTTTGGACATGCTTTGTCAGTTTTCATTCAAATTTAGTACATCGATCATACATGTTAGGATACATGTTCCCGACCATCCGTGAGTTCCTGAGTCCGTTCGTGCGTTTGTGCGTCAGTCTGTCAATAGTATTATTTCAGAATCCTGTGGACCGATTCCGTTCATTCTTTGCATGTGGATAGTACTTTATCTGGGACATGCACATGCAGTGGTTTAGCAATTCGATTCAAAATGGCCGACTGGCAGCCATCTTGTTTTTTGAAAATGTTGTATTTTGGACATGCTTTTTCAGTTGATATTCAAACTTGGTACATAGATTATACATGTTAGGATACATGTCCATGATGATTTATTTCGCAATTGGATCAAAGATGGTCGACTGGCAGGCATCTTGTTTTGTTTTTTTATGCGGTATCTTGGCACATACATGTACTTTATACATGTTAGGATGCATGTCCATAACAATTTGTTTCAAAATCTGGTCAAGGATGGCCGATTGTCAGCAATCTCACTTTTTGGCCTTACTACTATATTTCCACAATTTATGTACCATATTCATTCGTATTTGGCACATACATCATACATATCAGTGTGTTTCATAATCAGATCAAAGATGGCCAAATAACGGCTGTTTTTATTTTTGACCATAATACTACTACACGGAACACGTGTTTAGATGTAAATAAACAATCTGTTGTATACGCCACTTGTTTTTTGTAATTTGATTCAATATGACTGCCCAATGTCTAATTCTTGTGTAAAAGCACTAAATCATAATTTTTTACAAATCCATCTCCTAATAATGGCTTCAATCTAATCTCAATGACTTCATCAGCATCAAATTGATATGTCAGATCACAAAATTTGGGACGGGGACTGTGTCATTAACAATGACTTGTTATAAAGGTGTTATTTTAATCTTTTCTGATGCCTGAAAGTTTCATTGTAGTCATTGACGACTATTCATGAGTATGATGATTATTACAACTAGCGTGAATGGTTAAGCTTCGTTTCGACAATGAAATTATTATTATGAAATTATTTTTCAAATGCTCAGTTTATCTTTTGAAAACAATTATTTTTTTTTAAACAAATCATGTTGCTTTCTTATCAAAATCTAGCCAATAAACCATACATCATCGACAAAATCTCTGCCATGTTGCGTTCAATAATATTAACATATTTAAATAAGCTATGGTAATTTGAACACGTTGGCATCATCCATCGTTTTCATTGGTTAATTAGCGATTTTACCTGTCGGGTCAAAGACCACCCTCCCAGGTCAAAACATAGTGAATATTCATTTCTACAGCATCGAATCAATCAGAATCATTCGCTTACGATGAAACAAGTTGAAATTTATTTACATTTCATAACAATGCAACAAATTTAGTTATAAATAAAATGATTATAATCATTACTAGGTAATAATCAACAATTGTGAAACGCAGCATGACCGGATTGCGCTACTGCGATCATTTGCTAAGCAATGCAGTTGTGTTCGTTTTTTTTGGATATACTTTTGTCACTAATAAAATGGAAAAAATAATTGTATTTGGCACACAAGGTTCATTAATGTGTTTTTTTTGGAGAAAGATGTGCTAGGTGACATTGTAATGAAATTTTAGGTGGTCTACTCTTTAATCCAGCAAGAAAAAAATATATAAAATTTTAGATTAGCTTCTGCAATAGTTTCTTTCGTTTTGGGTGGTCCAACTGCCGAATTTACGGCAGAATCCGGTATAATTTTAACTTCATTCATAGTTAATTGTCACTTTTGTGTTGTAAACTTCAATGTACTCCCTCACAAACCCAGCGTGAATCTAAGAAGAGTTTGGTACAATACATAGATCTGATTGTAAGTCGCTCTAAAACATGCACCCAATCAGATTTTTCCTAGCATACAAGATATATACGTGAAGCAAAATGACGAGATGTTGAATTGCAAAGATACGACACTTTAATGAACTCTCGCTAAATAGAATCTGCCAAAGTATAGGCAATGACTGAATAAATGTACCGTGGCTAGCCAAGATGTATGTGTGGTGATATGTTTCCAAATGTATTTCTAATCAGGTTTGTTTTATTCCTTCAAGGATTGGCAGTGGTAAAGTCAGTAATGTTATTGTGGATAATGCACAAAATTCGGATGATGATGATATATTTGTAGTTGAGGAATCCCAGTCAACATTGGATATGGAACAGCACCATGTAAGTAAATGCCATAGTAAACCAGATACTGTAAAATACTTTATTTTAGCTGGAATTAATTTTCACTGAAAAAACATTTTGAGTGTTTTGTATAGAAGTTATTTTTGCTGATATTTGATGAGTTGAATGTAAAATATAGGAAAAAGGTATATTCGCTGCATTTATTTTCAATGAATCATTCCTTCAGCAAAAATACCGAAAATTAATTCCAAGCGAAAATAAAGTATTTTACATTACTTTATTTTAATTTGTGTCTCAGTCTACCATTATCATGTTATTAGATTAATGGTATAGCGCCCTCTATGGTGAATACTTGACTTTAATATTACTGTATGCAGTCAAGCAGAGCTACCATATTTGTCTTCAATTAGGCGCCACTTTGTTACACTTTCATGTCATGGTGGCGCTTATTTGTGGTTAAATTTGAGCAACTTTGTTTCAAATGGCGCTTATTTCAAGCACTTCAAGTTCTAGTACCGGTAACTGTGTTACAAGCCATTGTTTTTGCTCCATTCTGGTGATAGATTATTGACAATATTTTACATTACAGTCAGACGCTTAGTCACTGTAGCCTTTATTTTAAATACTGAGTAAATGACCCGTTTTCAGACAGTTTAGAAAGTTATACAAAAAATATCATTCTTTAGAAAA